GATGTGTTTTGAGATTTACAACGTATTTCCTTATTTATTTCAAATTTATTTCAGTTTTCGTGAAGGCAATTTTTTTCATTACACACTGTATTTATAATGGAATAATTAGCATAGACAATCTAAATACTGCTCAAATTGTTGAACTTCTTGAAGCATGTGATGAATTAAACATTGATGAATTGATTAATGACTTACAAGACCATTTGATCAAAGAAAAAAAAGAATGGGTTCAACAGAATTTAATTTATGCTCATAAAATCTCATCACAACATCGATCGTTCAATTTGCTTCAAGATTATTGTAGTGAAATAATTAGTAAAAATCCTGAATTGTTTTTTAAATCCAATGACATCACAATGATTGAAAAGTCTATGCTTATTACTATGTTAGAAAGAGATGACTTAGAATTAAAAGAAATCGATATTTGGGATATTGTCATTCAATGGGGAAAAAATCAAAACGAAAAATTAAATAAAGAAGTTTCAGAATGGATGAAGGAGGATTTTATCATGCTAAAAAATGAATTAGATGACATTATTCTGTTAATAAGATTTTACGAAATTTCCTCTATTGACTTTTATGATAAAATCAAACCTTATAAAAAAATATTTAATAAAGAAATATATGAAGAACTTCTTCAATACCAGGTTACTGGTAGATGCCAACCAAGATTTATACTTCAAAAAGGTCCAAGATCAAAAACAGCAATAAGAACAGGACAATTATTAAATTCACAAACCAAATACTTAATTTCAAGTTGGATTGATTGCAAAAACAATCTAAATAATGAAGATAACACCCCTTACAAATTTGAATTAATTTTTCAGGACAGTCAAGATAGATTCACTAGATCTGCATTTGAAGATAAATGTTACAACATTAAAGAAACTACAACAATTTTAAAAATAAAAAAAACAGGTGAATTGATAGGTGGATACAATCCTGTTGGTTGGAATAAAGAGGAAAGATCTTCAAATGATTCATATTATATTGAATCAGATAAAAGCTTTATTTTCAAAATTGGACAAAGTGACACAATATTAAGTAGAGTCCAAAACTCTCAACAAGCATTTTATCACCACAGTGATGAAATGGCTGAATCAATTTTAAGTTTTGGTGGCGATTTGTTTGTGAGTTATATTACAGAAAGTCATTACTATCGTTATTGTTTTAATAATCATTCTGTTTATATAAATAATTTGAACATTAGAGATAGTGGTTTGTTGGATGAATCTGAAATTTACAAAATAATAAGGAAAAATTAATATTTTTTATTTTTTAAATAAATCTGTCTTCAAGAAAAAATTTTTTTAACTATAATTACATTTTTAGAATTTATCCAATTAATTTCAAAGTATAGTTGTTTGCCATAATTGCCTCTCTTAATAGATGATTGTCACTGTATCTGTAATGCCATAATTCTGCCATAGTTACCATAATTAATTTTGATAGTTGCCAAAATAATTTCCATAATTATTTGAACTTTTTAAATCAATAGCCATAATTCTGGGTGGTTTTTTATGTAGATAATATAGAGAATAATGTTGCCATAATATATGGCAAATGCAAAAAAATTATGGCAAACAACTATGTTCCAAAGTAAAAATTAACTCTTTTAATTTTTCTTTTTTCTTGGTAGATTTCATAATTAATCTTTTTTTCCTTAGATAAGCTTCCAGCATCTGAGTATTATTTATTTGAAAATATAATGAGCAATTTTTTCACCTTGTTCCTTTTTTAGAATACTTCTGATAGTACTATAATTCTTGGGTTCCATTGTAGATCTGATGTAAATTAACTTCATATTAACTATTTTTATATAGAGGTAATTTTATATATCACCTAATATTAAGAGGGTAACAAATGAAATATTTTAATAATAATCACGTTACTAAATTTTGATCCCTGAAATTCTTGGTAATACCAATGTTCACTTTGTCTGGTTTTGTTGCAGCATGCCCCAATTAATATATTTTTTGTGATACATATTTGTGGCTGAAAAAAAAAACTTGTTTCTTTTTTTTACAAATATACAAAAACCACAATGGAAAACATTTTGGATGAATTAAACATCATGACGATACCCCTACTGACAAAAATGATAAATATTCAAAGGGAAGAAAAGAAAGATATGGGAAGTGTCCAACATGCAATAGATATAATACCAATCAGGCATGGTGTCAATCATGTGATCCAAAGTTATTAACTGAAGGATGGACTAGTGGCAATGAAACATTAGATGAGTTGATTAAAAGTACACAACTTAAAGCAACAAGATATCATAATCATATTTATCTTCAATGGGTTCCTTATAATGATTTAACAAATATTAAAAAGATAGGTGAAGGTGGTTTTGCAACTATATCCAAAGCTACTTTGTTAAATGGAGAAAGATACTTTTGGAAATAAAAGAATTAGCAGAGATAGGACTATAACACTAAAAAAACTACATAATTCACAGAATATTTCTGATGAATTTCTTAATGAGGTAAATTATTTTATTTTTCTATTAATTTCAGACTTTTAGATATTATTCTGAAATTCATTATAATTTTTTTTTATATAGTTTAGAAATTACGTTACATTTTATGGTGAAGATTTTATAAATAAGATTTATGGATCAACACAAGATCCAGCTACAAAAGAACATATCTTTGTAATGGAATACATGGAAGATGGAAGTTTTCAAGATTATGAAGATCCATATAATAGAACAAAAGAATATGGGGAGTGTCCAACCTGCAATAGATATAATACCTATTATTCATTGTGTCAATCATGTGATCCAAAGCTATTAACTGAAGGATGGACTAGTGGCAATGAAACATTGGATAAATTGATTAAAAGTACACAACTTAAAGCAACCAAGTATCATTATAGTAATCATCTCCAATGGATTCCTTATAACAATTTAACAAATATCGAAAAGGTAAGTGAAGGTGGGTTTGCAACAATATCCAAAGCTACTTGGTTAAATGGTTATAAAAGTATAAATGATGATTGTATAAATGATGATTATAAAAGAATTAGCAAGGATATGCCTGTGGCATTAAAAAAACTACATAATTCACAAAACATTTCTGGTGAATTTCTTAATGTTATTATATAATAACTTCTTTGGATTTTTTTTTTCATTTTGAAATTCAGATGCCAAATATGCACACTAAATAAAAAATAATAATTTTTGACAAAAAAATAAATGTAATTTTTAATAATCATTGTTATCATACATACATAATTGCAGCATTGTTTGTATCTTACCTTTTCAAAACAATGGTTTCATTTTTTTATAGTATTGACAAATTGAAGTGATGTACTATCAATATAAATAATTTATTAATATTAAAAATCTTAAAATTTAACTCCTCCAAACTAATATTAAAAATCATGTGAAAAAGTAAAGAAAAGGATTGAGAAAATCATTTAGCCAAAAAATTACAAGAATGAGGCTGGCAAAAAATACCTACTATTGCTCGAGTAAATTACAGCGAAATTATTGATAAAGAGATATTAGCAGTTAATTAATCCTCAATTAAAAACCGAACAACGGGAAAAAATAATTAAAGAAGTCGTTAATATTCCTAACTTTTTTTCCATTATCGAGACTGCTAATTGTGATTTTCACTATAAACTAAATAAAGGTATTGAAATCTTTGACCCTGAATACATGTATCTGAACAATTTAAATATAATAAAAATTATACCTAAATTATCAAATAAAAAGCCAACTGACACAATCTACAGTATACTGATTGTGAGTTTTGTTGAATCAAACAATGTCAAACTTCTGATCTTATTTGAAAACCCTGACATGGAATCTTTGATGTTTCCCCAATGGAAAGGGGCACTATGAGTATATAAAAATACCACCTTCAATAGATAGCTAGGTTCTTCCTGTATTGGTACTAGCCACATTATGATTGAGAAATTTTCAAAATTAGAACCAGATACTGGCCAACAAAAATGCAAACATCTATCAAAAAACACAACCTTGCCTTCAAATTTGTCCCCTTTTTTAAAAAGAAATAAGTGTAAGGCCTTCTATGACTTGATGGTGGCCAAAGACAAATGGACCCACTTGCATGGAGTGGCAACATCATGCCAAGCAATCACCCATTACACATCTACTACTGCAGCTACCTCTTCCGTCATTAATTCTTCCGTCACTAAGTCTTCCACTAATCAAACACCATTTTCATCATATTTCAGTCTTTATGAAATCAAATTGACCAAGAAACATTTCGATAAATTATCATCGTCACATTACTGGACTTACGAGCCACTCGAAAATATTTTACCATCCAAAAAAATCGCCAATACTAGTAATAACATCACTAAATCTAACATTCGTAACAATTCCAATTCTAATATCAAAATCTCCAAAAGCAATAATAAATCAACTACTACAACTCCAAAAATTGAAAAAGAAACAATTATTCCGTTTTCCAACTATCTTGGTTTAACGGGCCAACCACCTACTGAAAAATTCGATGTCGCCGATCATTACTGGACTAATTTACCACTTGAGGCAATCTTACCATCAAAATCAAAATACAAAAATACCAAAAATAAGAAAAATTCCTCTTTTACACCTTCATCTATAAACCTTAATTTATTCACCAAATACGAGCGTCTAATGAACAAAAATAAAAGATAAAAATATTTATTTGTATTAGTAGTTTCTTTTATTCCTCTTATTGTAAATTTTTATTGTAATATTTTTTTTCGATTAATGTAAATTCTTTCTTTTAAAATTTTTTTCTTTTTGTTATCTTAATTGTAATTAATTAATTAAATAGATCAATTTTCATTTCTTAATAAAAATATACAGTATATAAAACATTTTTGCGTTTGTCATGTGATGATATTGATATTGGTTGTTTCATTACTTTGTTTTTTTATATGTATATACAGTATATATGCAGTGGATATCATCTAGTACAAATTTAGAAACTATCTGCAGCAACAAACTTGATTGGACATTTCTAAATTTGTACTATATAGTCGATTTGCATTCAGTCACGACTAGAAAATTTTCTAGTCGACTGAGCTGCGACTAGATTTCAGTCGCGACTAGATTTCAGTCGTGACTAGATTTCAGTCATGGCTACACGACTAGATTTCAATATTAATATTTTTACTGTAATTCGCGGTCTATAATAGAAGTGTGTGCATACTATACAA